GTGGGACGATATTCGGATTTGATAAATTCACTTTATTACTTGTCACGATCCGTACACTTGCGAAATTTCATGAACATGTGCGTTTGATTGTGAGTATAGAAAGAAAATAAATTTTAGATAATTCAATTGTCTAGAATTTATTTGTATAGCAATTATTAAATAAATGTGTTTGATTGATTTAGTTTTCAACCTAAAAAATATTATATTTGCCCATTTTTTGTTGGTGGGTAAATGAGAGGAGGAATAGATGAGAGAGAGAAAAATAAAGTGAATTACCTGAAAAATAAAAATATGATTGTCAAGGAAAATATGGTCACTTAACCAAAAAAACGAAATTATTTTCCTTGAAAAAAAATTGACAATCATATAGAACAAAAATAGAAATTAGGTAGAAAAAACACATTTTTCATCATTGAAAATATTGACAATTAAACGCACCATAAAATATATTTTTTCTCAAATTTATTTTCACCACATATTTTTTCAATAAAATAAATTTATACGTAAATTACAATTTTGTTCCACTTTTTAACCATCAATTCTTTCAAAAAATCACTCCATAAAGAATATATTCTAAAAAAATGGAGCTCAAATAACGCTAAAGATCACATATAGCGAGTGTTTGGTGGGGATTAAAATTAAATTTTTAGTAGATTGAAATANTATATAGTTAATTTTTTTTACTTGTTAATAGTGTTTTTTAGAAAATTTACATCTGGTACTGCTATAACTTATAGAGGGTGTTTGGTGGGGATTAAAATTAGATTTTTAGTAGATTGTGATAGAAGTTTTTAAAATATGTGGTTGAAAAGTTGGGACTCATGAAAAATGTGATTAATATTGATTGTTTGACTTTGATTTAAATTAAAATTTGATTTTAATCCGAAACAAATAGGGTTATCTTAAAAGAATTTAAAGAAGTAGTTCTTAATCATGTTATTTTCCCCCCATTAAAAATCACACCCAGTCTCTTCAAAAGAACATGTCGACTACACTGATATTTGCTTGTGTTAAAATAATGTAATAAATCCCTTTGTGCATTTTACGTATAAAAGAATTTAGAATCGATAATTGATTATTTAAAATGAATAGTTGAGAGACAAAATATCGAGGAAACTTTCAAATGGATTCAAAACAAGCCCAAAAATGAGTTACATAATGCCACATGTAGAGGTGTCAATCCGGGTGGGGTGGGGTGGGGTGGGCCGGGTCGGCCCGTCAACATA